GAAAACTGCAAGGACTCGTCCAAAGCAGTCACTGCAGAGTCGGTAACGACTGAGCGCAGATTAAAAAAAAAAAATAGTTAATAGTTTCACTTCAAATATAAAACTTGATCTGAAAATGCACAAAGGTTAGGCTGCCAGAGGGTTAAAGATAGGACTTCTGATGACAATTTCAACCCCTTATTTTCTAAGCATTTTCCTGAGAGTAAACCCACCTGAACAATGTAGAATTCAGCACAAATCAAGTAACAAAAGTAATCACTAACTTTTGTGCATTTTCAGATCAAGTTTTATATTTGAAGTGAAACTATTAACTATTACTGAAGTCCAAATGAAATTGAATGGGAAGGTATATTTCACCAAGTTCTTCTTCTCATTGTCTTGCACTGGCTCCCCTCATCTGTTCTAGAGTGTTTGGAAAATGTGGATACTGGCATGGGGGAATTGGTGAAAAATACTTTTCTTTCTTTTTATTTGGGGCTGTACTTGAAGACTACTTGGAAGCTAGAGGTGGTCCAGAAAGCAACAGCATGAGCATTGTTGGGCATGTCTCCATATGCCCATATGACACTACTGCTCTGCAAACCACACTTCAATTCTGATACACCAGAGCTGACTGCCCAAATGTCACCCTTAAGAAATAGCACTTTATGTGCAATACAGTATCGAGTAAGGCTTGTTCATTGCCAATTTGAACAACCCATTCAAAACTGGATGATTGACTTCCTTCATAAAACCAGAAAGTTGGAATGGCATCTCAAACATACCTTCAATACAGAACAAGTTTTAAACATCAAACAGTTTGGAATTTCTCTAATTTGCTTTTCATTCAGGAAAAACTTTTTTTCAAATTGGGGTAGAAAGAGCATATAGAACTGTATACATGAAAGGGCTGATATTCTCATCTTTAATTCAAAATGTACCCTCAAGAGAAATTAGTTTTAAAAAATCATTATAGCACCACTAAAATATATCTAGAAAGACAAATTAAGCAACTTAATTACACTTACAGTGAAGTCTTTTAAGCTGTTGATGATCAAGAACAAAGCCATCAACCTGAACTTCTTTCTTCTTCTTTAAAACCATTTTGGCAGATTAAAGAATTACCTATTAAAGAATAATATATGAGTTATACTTGGAACCAACATTGTTTTAAATATTGAATTTAAAAATGAAGACTGTTTAATTCAGCTTTGTACTTTGCAAAATCTTTGTCTAGCCTATTTCTATATACTCTGAAGAAAAAGTTTAGCCAAGATTTTCATTCAGACTTCAACAGTAACTATTTCATCTAAAATATAAAACCTCAATAAAAAAATCCACAAAGTTCCGGCAGTTGGAACTTTAAAGGCAAGACTCCCGATGAGGATATCAGCACTTTACCTCTGAAGTATTTTCTTGAGATAAATCCACCTGAATATAAAATTGAGCACAAATCAAATAACAAAAGCAACCAATACAGAATTACCAAATTTGCAGGTTGAACAACCACTTATTAACAAAATTCTACTGCAATGAAAACCTACATGTTAACCTGTTTTCTTCTACGTACACTGTTTCTGGAATATGATGTTATCCGATTTATGCCATAGCATTTCATTTCTGCCTTTCATCTAGAATACCATTTCTTCCTGTTCCATGACCTTGAGGCTATCAGTTGATAGGTAGTCTTCATTTAACAATAATTGGGACCAGAATTTCTGTCGCTAAGTGAAATGGTCATAAAGCATGATGTCATGTGACTGTATTGCTTAGCAATGGCAATCCTTTTACTCCCCATTGCTGTCATTAAGCAAAGATTGCAGGCATTAAGTGAGTCCCAGGCGGCTTGCAAGCAGGCCAGTGAGCAGGTAAGTGGCTGCTGCTGGCCAGGGGAGGGTGAGCAGATGGCCCACAAGACGTGGCCAGGCGGGGGTGGCTACCACTGGGCAGGGAAGAGTGCAAGCAACTTACTGGAGTGACTTGCAACCTTCCCTGCCAGCCTCCCCATTGACTTCACTTGTGGGAAGCCAACAGGGAAGGTTGCAAATGGCAATCACATGACCACAGGAGCTGCAACCATCATAAGTGCAAGCCAGTTGCCAAGCACCCAGATTGCAATCACATGACTGCAGGGGTGCTGGGACAGCTGGAACTCTGAGGACCGGTCATAAGTACCACTCATTCAGTGCCATTGTAACTTCAAAAGGTCACTGAATGAGTGGTCGTTAAACAAGGATTACCTATACTATCTGAGAAACGTCCAAAGTGCATACACAAAACACATGTGAGTTATTTCTCACATAATTAATGAAAAACAATATAATCATAAGACTGACCATTGTAAAACCAAGGGGCAAAAGGAAACTGGTTTCCCATCAAGCAGCCTACTACGTAAGATAGGAACCAGAAAGAGGTGCAAAAAGTTTGAATTTTATTTCTGTTGAGGCTATTGCTCTTGAAACACAGCAAATGCTTGTTATAGCTTCCCAAGGTTACTTATCAAAAGTTCTTGAATTCATGTGAGCTACACAAGAGAGACAGACTCTGCCTGAATCAAAATGGAGCAAGGCACCATGTTGACCAGCACCTGTCAGCTTCTCTCCAGGGATATATGGAATATAGCCAATGTTGGAAGTAGGATATGACAAGTCAAGAGACAAAAAGGATGTGAACACATCTCAAGCTAACATTTGAAAAAGGAAATTGTGATGTTCGGTTCCCCAATGGTAACAATTCAGGAAACTATTTTATAAATGCTCACCTCCAGGTTCCTTTCTGATCAACGAAGAGACTGCCAGTTTATCAGTTCACAGAAAGGCAGTAAAAAGAAAATTAGGAGACTCCACCCTAATATATTTTGGTTACCAGTTGTAGATGCAAATTCTTCTAATCCCATCCCTTTCTTCATAATAAAATTTTCTAAAAAGTCTTTGTGAGAATTGTGCTTGGAAAAATAAATACGTTCAGTTTCAGGCAGACACCAAAGAGCCTGACAGATATGGAGTACGTTGGTTTCTATACCAATGCTAATGTCTCTGACCAAGATGGTGGAATTAGAATGCTTGGTTGTAAATATAGCATGAAATATTTGTGGGTACAGCATGAAATATTTGTGGGAACATGGAATACATGGAAACATTTGTGGGAACATAGAATACTGGTGAAATATCATCATTCTAGAATACTTTTTAAAAGAATAAGGAAAATCTCTGCCGTCATCTTCAGATCTATTTGTGAAAATCCAACATTCCTCTCCAGTAACTAGGAGTTGTTTATGACCTGGGAGTCCCATCATCTGACATCCAAACTTGTCTAAATGTTTCAGCCATGTCCATACAAGATTTTTTTTGCAACAATACATTTTGCCACTGACTTCTTCTGGGTTTGATTTTAGTGTTCTTTCTCCTAGGTAAAATTTGGCTTCCCTCACACCTGCAGAACACCAACCTGCCCTCCAACTCATTCTGGATTAATCTTAGCTTCACTCCTGTCCTTTCAATCTTATTAGTAACCCTAAAAGAAATTTTTTACAAGATAAAAACAATACAAATTTTAGAAAAGAATTAAAGAAAATAAAAATAGAGAATAGATAAGAAAATAAGAAAAAGAAAAGAGAAAAAAAGAGAAAAAAATTGTACAAAGAAGTGGCTTCTGAATTTAACAGCCGTTATAAATGCATTAAGATTTTACCCTCTCTAAGATTACATCATAATTTCCTTCTTTCCATAGTTTACCCCTTCTAATTGTCAAACCCATAAATCAAAAGTTCATTTTTTTCTTTCTTCAGCAAAAAGCCCATAAGGGGTTTCCAGTCACTCATAAATGACGTTATTGTCCTTTCCCTATTCAGACAAGTCAATTTTGCCACTTTTGCGAATTGTACCATCTTCACCAACCATTCTTCCATTATGAGTATTTTGATCTCCCATTATATCAAGGTGGGGGTCAGGGCATTCAAGAAGGAATCCTCCCCCTCTGAACTCTTTTGCAAACAAGTGGGAGGGAAACATGTATTTATCAGAAAGCTCAAAAAAATTGTCATTTCATACAATAGATAAACTCTGTACCCATGCATCTGATTCATTCATGCAAAGCAAAATCCCTAATGTCATCTTGTTCCTTTGTAAGTGCTTGTAGGCCCACTGTTTGTCTTTTCTAGAATTTTCCCAGGTATTGATGTCAAGCTGATTAGTCTGTAGTTTCCTGGGATTTTTTTTTTTTTTGAAAGAATGGAACAAAATTAGCTCTTCTTCAGTCTTCGGGCACTTTGCTTGTACTTCAGGAGTTCTCAAAGATTACAGTAGTGGTTCTAGATCATATCCATCAATCATTTCAGCACCTCGGGATGTAATCCATCCAGCCCAGGCGATTTGAATTCATTCAAAGCAGCCAGGAGTTTTCTCACCATTTCCTTGCCCATTTTGACCATTTCTCTTCTGCCCCCCATGGCGCAGCTTCTGACAAGCTGGACTTTTTCCTTTTGTGAAAAGCCCAATACAAACTAGGAATTAAGCAGTTCAGCCATTTCCCAATTGCCTGTCACCATATTGTCATTTTCTCCAACCAGCAAACCGTTTCCTTGATTTTCCACTTGTTCCACACATGACCCAAAACCCTTTTTTGTTATTTTTGGCATTCAGCGCAAGCATCAACTCATTCTAAGCCTTAGTCTTCCTGATCCCATTCTTATAGATTTGGGCTATTTCCTTTTGTTATATGCCCCTTTTTCCACTTTTTTTAAAATTGTCATTTTTGTTTCTTACAGTAGTTTATCAGAAAGCTCTTTATGCAACCATAGTGGTCTCATCAGCTAGCCCCCATTTTTCTTTCTCTTTGGTACTGTTTGGGCCTTAGGTTCAGAATTTCCCAACCTTCCTGGACTGTTTTTCCCCTTCAAGATTTCCATCCATGCAACTGTTCCTACTTTTCCCTTAGCTTATTGAAGTCAGTTCTCTAACTACGTTCAGTTCTGCTCGTCTGCAATATAGTGAAGGAACTTCAGAAACAACTCTTTATGTAAAATTCAACGTTAGTAAACGATTCTACTAAACATATAAGCTGACCTTTTTTTTTTCCTAGTGTCTGTCCCTAAAATGCATTTTAAAGTATATGATCAGTCACTTCAAGCGTAACAGTCTGCTGGATCGGGCAAAAGATTTATCTAGCATTTTACTTTCTAGTGGACTCCAAGTAAAACATGAAGTCAATCGTTTCTTCTGAAGGAAAATACTTTGGTTTGGTTTGTGTGCTACATTATCCTGAAAGGACAGCACTCATTTACACCGCGTGGCCCCGAATCCTCCAGCATTTCTTTTTGTCGGGAGTGTAAGAAACGCATTTATTGGATCCAGGATATACCAAAGATATCCCGTCGCTAAACATCTAGCCATGAAAGAGCTCCGGACCCCGTACGCTTGACTCTGTCAAAGGCAGAGGTTACGTTTAAGCGACGGGCTTCAGCTAGGCATAGTTTGCACTACTCATTAATCCACAGAACTGGAGTACCTGATATGCTACAACGTGATGAGCTAGCCTGTGGCTCAGTGTGTCATGCGAACGCTTGCAGAGAGCACCGCCGATATTGAGGAAGGACGTGTTTTGCTCACACCGCGTGTTTCTACAGACACCAACAGCTCCCCATACTTACCCTCCAGAGAGGCCTCGCCAGGTTCTTCCTCTCCGCACAGCCGGTCGCTAACGCCGCCTCGCTGACGAGAAAGGGCGGAGCACGCGCGCAGCCGGAGAACGGCCGGCCCACTCACTCAGCCACGTCTTTTTCTCGAGGCGAGAGATAGGGCTGGGCTAGAGGCCGCGCGAGCACGCAGCCCTCTCTGTTTAGGCTCGCCCGGCTTTCCACGACCGTCTTGACGGCTTCCCCCGCCAATCAGGAAAGAGAGCGAGAGATCGGCTCTCGTGGGAGGGATATGAAGGAGGGGTGGGGCTTGCCGGCCACCGCGTCGAGGGAGGTTGCTTTGTTGGGCTCGCGGGCCTGCCCGGGGGGTGCGCGAGCGGATCTTCCGCAGTTGTGTATGGCCCCCCGCAATAAATCTCAGTGGATTTATGATGCGGTCCTGTAATATTAATCCTGCGACTGCTGGAAAGGCGTTAAGTTTGTTACAAACCTCAGCTCAGATCCTGGACAAATGTGGGTCAGTCTTGTGGATGCTTACTCGAGGTAAATCCTACAAACCGGAGTGAGTCTTAAAGGTCGCCCTTACACTTCATTGAATTCAGCGGGGGTGCCGGTTACAGCACCATCTTGTTTCACCTGATTGGATCTCCCTTCTGCTGGCTGTGTCACACATCAGTGCAACTCACTTTTTACTGAATGAAGTACCATCAGTGGAGCTTAGAGAATAATACACCACTTTTTATATAGCATAATGAGGGGTTCCACAAAATACTAGGCCACAAATGAGCAAATATTTTCTTAGCTCAGTTTGTGAATCCAAACACTAGATAGCCATGGTTTATCGCTTAATATTGTAGGACCTAAGTAACTAAATCCAGAGACACTTGCTTTCAATTAATTGTGGTGTTCTGTCCAAGATAGGATGGATAAGATTTTAGTAATCCCCTTTGTTCTCTTGTATTTAATAGATATTAGGACTTCCATTTAATGAATTTTGTTTTTCATTTTAGTCATCCATTATTGTAAGGTACAAATTTTAAGCCAACTTATTTCTATAGTTAACAGAGTGATGCCTAATTAAGATGTAAAGACTATTGCTAAAATGCAACAGAAACAAGCCACACAAGTGTTCAAATACTTAGGTCAAGTGTTCATTATTTACTTATTTAATAAGTGTTCAAATGTCTCAGTAATAATGAAAATAAGTTTGCATTATGATGGGGGGAAATCAATATTTTAAAATACTCTCATTCAGAAGTTTCATTTGTTTTATCATAAACCATGGGCAGCTGAATAAATGTTTATAAACTCTTCCAAGATGGTTTTAGAATTCAACTCCTAAAATAGCATGATGTGATTCTGATTTCTGACTTAAAACAGAGCATTATAATACCATTTAAAACTAAATAGATGCAGTTTGTAAGGTTATTCATTTTATTACATGTTTCTGAGGCTGTTTGTTTCATTTTTAATATGTACTGAAACCTATTGGAATATTTACTTTTTCATACAAAGGAAAAACACTTTGTAAAAAGTTGGCAAGAAATTATTTTTGATACAGTAATTAATTTTACCTATTTCAGAATTTCTCCACTGTGTGGCGCCAAAGTACTATATTAAGCAATTATGCTATCAACTTGATAATTTCCTCATGAGCTTTTTTGTAGTTGTCATTTATTCACTTTCTTTTTATCAAGTACCCAAAATACCACATTATGAGAAGTCTAATTGAGAACAAGGGGGACGTGGTGGCGCAGCGGCTTAAT